GGGGAGAGTTGTATCATGTCCAAGTTGTATCAGGGCGAATTGTGCCAAACTTATCCAATAGATTGCGCTCGTGACACGACCAGCCGACGAGTTTTTCCGGGCGCCATCTTTCCCTGTTCTATCGTGTGGCTGGGTGGACGCGTCTCGAGGTAAGAGCCGATTTTATGTTTTTTTAATGTCATTCTAAAAAAACAAGTTGCAAGAAAATGTGTGTTTTGGGCATTCAAATGCGCACGAATTTGAAAGATCTCCGTAGCGGTGGTGAGGGTTGGTTCTAAGGCTGCGTGAGTGAAAATGGATTTCTCCAGCTGTCCGCTGTTTTTGAGCACGAGGATGTTTTTTTCCAAGATGGCGGCGAGGTACATGTTGTATCAGAGCCGGGTGGGGTATGTTGTAACATGTATGTATGTATGTATGCATGGGTACCTATGTTGCTTTTGATCGCGAAAGCTAAGCCCTGGCTCACGTTAATTTGTAGGTAGCTAGTCAATCTACTATACTATTTGAGGAGGGCGTAGTTTCTGTCTATTACGAAGGTCGCGACATGGTGCTACGTAGCGCGGGTTACAGATCACACCGTTGCACCTACCGCGCTGAAATTTGCGCAAGTTATAGAACAAGGATGGACAACGTGCCTTTGAGCGGTCTCGGCTCGATCGGATCGATAGCGAGCGCGTGGCGCGTGCCCAAAAAGTGCAAATTCGCGTCATAGACTTTACATGTATAAATCGGCTGGCAAAAACGGGCGAAAATGGCTAAATTTGCCCGACACGGGTCCGTTCCCCGTGCAATATCTCGGTAGCCGTGCGCCCGATCGGCACGGGGAAAACAGCATCGTGTAGAGAATCGAACGGGCAATCGAATAGTGTGCGGTGCAGGGGTGGCACGCGCCACGTGCAAGTGTGAGGGCAATTTCATTTCAAAAAGTGCCATTTTAAACGGATTTTGGAATTTATATTAATTTCAGGTGATCGTCAGACGGAATGAGTTGAAACAGCGACTATTAGCAATAAAAATGTACCGTCTCTCATGGAAAAATTGTGAAAAGCTAATTGATCAAAAACAATGTGGAAAAATCGCTGAATTAAAATGGTATTTGTCCAAAATGTGCCACTAAAAAGTTACACGGGATTTGCTGCTTAACCTGATACGCTTGACAATTGAAAATGCTATCATTAGAAAGAGCATTCAATTCTCTCCAAGATTCAATCATCACGTTTGCATGACAAGCAACAGTATTCTTAAAAATATAAATGTTTCAAACCTCTGCAAAACGATTTTTAGTGAAAACTATCTACGCCTTTCATTTGTCATAAAACTACGCGCCTAAATTATAAAGCACATTTGACAGATTCTGAAGTGGAAAGCATGCTTATCAGACACGGGCACCTCGATGCGGTGGATATTTTTTCCACAAACCAAAACGTTTAGCCGTCAAAAAGCAATCGACCGAAATGGATTGATAACCCAACCGACACAAGAACAACCAAACACCCGCCGATCGTAAATACCCCCTTTTCGCGTTGCGGAGCACGCGGGTCACCCTAGTACTCGTTCCATTTCAGCACAATGTGTTGGCTTCTTTGCTCTTAACGGGCCACTGCGTCTAGTCTGTTGATAATTCGTTCGTTTCGATGTTTCGTTCGGATTGACCTAAGTTCGGTCTAATAAAAGTGAAGCCTTTGAGCATATACATTGTATCAACCCCATTTAATGTTGTTGTTATGTTCAAAACCAGTAACAAGCACACTCCCTGAAACGTGAGATAGTGATACAAATTACCCCACCATGTGATACAACTCACCCAAGCCATGGGGCAAGTTGTATCAAAAACATTGTTCTATTCGGCAGACCGTAGAAGAAAAACTGGTAGAGGTAGCGGAAACATGGTGTGTCAAAAGTGGAAATAGCCGGTGCCCCGTCTGGCAACCCGGCAGCCCGCCGCCATAGGGAAATTCATGCTTTTTGTCGCTTTTTTGCTCCCTATGAGTCACTTGATCTAATTTGAGCTTAACTAGGAACGAAGCGGGTCACTTGGACGTATTCGGGAGCCGTATACGGTGTTTTGGAGCCAATACCTGGGAAACCCTGCCCGCCCAATGCAAGTTTTTAAGAGTCTGCATGCCCAAATTAACGTTGAGCGCGGCCGTTTTCGGTCGGTTTTCCCCGACCTTGTGGCGAGATCGCCTTATTTATTCAACCAGGGTGGGCTAATTCGCCTAACTAGGAATGAGGTGTTGAAGAGAATTATTCAAGGAATAGAGCTGTGCAAAAATATTTTTTTGTATTGTTAAAACTGTATCCGCCCTCGAACGATAAATATTGTTGACCCATCGGAAACACATCACCTGGAATGCGTTTGGACTTGGCTGGATCTAATATTAGCGAGTATCTGTTATTGCAGTTTCTTGGCTTACATAGTACGCACACAAGCATACATACTTCCTGCCCTTGGTTATTCCTCACTTGAATGAAAATTTTGCTATAATAACTATTCCAAGCAGTTAACAGGTTTTAGTGCAGTGCCAATTCGGAATCCTGTTCAGCGCCGCCAGTCTCCCAGGCGGCGCGTAACGGCTGCCGCCGGCCGCCGCGCCGCCGCTCTGGCAGGGTGTTTGACTTCATATCTCTGTTGCTAGAAAAGTTGTGGACCGATTTACTTGATTCTTGCATGAAAAGATCCGTCATTCAATTCTTAGCAGATAACGAAAATTTGACGTCAATTGCACGATCCGCTGCCCATATTGTGGTACTGCCATCTATTGACAAGGCTGGCGAACTAAAGCCGGGCGGCTATTTCCACTTTTGACACACCATGAGTTACTTTGCACAAGAAAGCAGAAGAATCAAGGAAGGAGATAGTATGGTAATAATGAGTTTATCACGGATAGTTACGAGGTTAGGGGTCTCGGAGTAAAAACTGATACAACCCACCCCACTCTCCCCTACCCTTTTTATGCAAAAATATCAACTTTGAAATTCGACCTTATTTTACCTGACCTTGACCTGGCCTTAATCAAAAAGTAACCTAAACCGTCCCTGATGGTCGTTATGGAGCGAGCGAAGCGAGCGTGGTCTTTCGTAGATTAACTGAAAATTCTGAGTATGAGTGGCCGGCCAGCCGGCCGACCGGCCTGCCGTGCGAACGCTTTTGCGAGGCCTATATTTCAGCAACCACTTGACTGATTTATGCCTGAAACAGACTCTTTCCGCAGTCAGGAAATCACATGCGAGAGCCTATTCAAATACATGGAAGCACGCTCGCATCAATCGCACGCACCTCCCGGATGCGATTGATGCGAGAAGAATTATAATGTATTTGAATAGGCTCTCGCATGCGATTTCCTGAATGCGGAAAGAGTCTGTTTCAGCCTTGACATGCGGTAATTTTTGTAGGATAGCTTCATTCCTTCTATTAAGTATTGGACTATTTCCGATGCATGTGGGTGATCCCTTATGCACGTACTACGTGCAAAACAAAGAGGTGTCAGTTTTGTAACAATTGCAATGTCTCCGTAACTACTGGGACGTGATTGCGCTGAAAGTTGGCAAGCATGTAGGCACCCACTATGCAATGCATACCCATGTGCCACAGTTTGGGTGCTTCTGCACGTGTGCACGTGCAGGGGTCGATTTCAGATCTCGAGAACGGCTGAACCAATTGCGCTGAAATTTGGTACATGTTCAGGGACCGGTTAGTAAGGTGCCGTGCAAAAGTCAGTTGGGACCCATTTTGCAAGTGCGCGCGTGCAAGGTGCCGCTTCCAGATCTCGAGAACAGCTGGGTCGAGTGCGCTCAAATTTGGCACATCGCTAGGGACCGGTTAGTAGGGTACAGTGCACAAGTTTGTTGGAGGTACCCCCTTGCAATTTCGCACGTGCAGGGCCCACCCTCTCGCTCGCTTCGTCGGTCGCCCCAAAAGGTGTTTTATTGGTCTTACCAACACCATTGAGTTGGAATAGCCACCTTGACGGCGGAGACGGTAAGGTATGTTGACGGATCGGGTAGGGACGCACGGCGAAGTGAGGGGAGAGAGGGGGAACAACGGCAGGGGGAGGGACGGCGGGAGGACGGCGCATGGCCGCGGGGAGGCAGGGGCGAGAGGGAAGCGGAGAGGGACACGCCAAGGCGCCAGTCGACAGAGGGCAGCGACCGCGGCAGCACGTGCAGCAGTGATTTTTGTTTTACCTTCTTCCATGGAATTCCTAGAACACTATTTCGTTTTTCTCGTTAAAGGGGAGGGGCCGTTGTGAACCCGCAGGCGGTGTGGTTCTCTCGAGAGAACTCGTCAGCGGGGGATCGACCTTATATCAGTCAACTATGTGAACGTGATTACCGTGCAGACCGGACCGAGGACGTCAAATGAAAAATTGACCATAAAACACATCACACGGCCCCAGTAAAATTGGGTTCATGTGTTGACCCTTGGTAACCTGACCTCTGTAGCCTGACCTGGTATCAGTGACCTCTATTAGCAACATATCTACTAGGTATATCTACGCTCTGTCGATGATTTTCGATAAATTGCGTTTTACTCGATGTTACCTGTGACATTATCGGTGACCCCAAGGTCAATAAAATTAAAATTCTTCTGACAGTTTTGACATGGGTATTGAACGCCGTTTGATTTTTGCGAATCCGTTCAGTAGGTTCGGAGATACGGGGGGAAATATTCCCCCCCCCACACACACACACACCAAGTCGAGTTATAAACAGACCCCACCAGGGCGCGGGTGAATCACGCCGTAATATGGACTCTAGCAGCCGGTGTATTTTTCTGAACCAAATCAGGGTGTGTTTAGCTCGCGTCTCTGGAAACAGACAGACAACTGATCCCAGCTCCACCGGGGCTGTCTCGACGCGGCGTCGCGGGACTGCGTGCTGACATCAGCTGTCCGGCTGGCACCGGCAGCACTGGCGCTGGGTGGTCTGGTCTCATCACCCCGGCACGTGTCACGGGAGGGGCCGGTGTGACGTAACACCGTCAGAGGACGTCGCCCGTCGGTCGGACCGCGGGCCAGACGTCAGCCGGCTGCCGTCGAGTGCAGCAGTGGGCGACTCCCACCTCCTCCTCCGACCGGCCGGAGAGCCTCGCCGTCTACCTTATTTTTCTTTCAAACGGTACTCAGCACTGCATATTCTTTTGTTGTACATCTGAGTGCAGGACAATTATTGAGATACTGAATCTACACTCTTCAAAATGACGCTTTCTTCTAAAAACGCAGTGAGAGGACACGGGCGACGGCGTGGCCTTTTAATGCAGGTAAGAAATGCAACAATTGCAGATTGTGTTCCGTTTTGCAATGTCCACTCCTATTGTTAGTTTTGTCCACATACATATATGCGTGTCACATTGTCGCTATTGATGCTCAACAGCTCTCTTCATTACCATACAGTTTAAGATTAGGCAATTAACCCGCGCATGACCGGGGTATTTTCCATAACGCGAGTGACTGAGGGGAGGCTCTCCAGAGCCCCCCTCCTATTTCCGAAACTACTGGGCCGATCGTCAAAATTCAAACGGCGTCTGATAGCCCTGGAAAAACTGTCGAGCGAAACCTATTTTCATTGACCTCGAGGTCACCGATGACGTCAGAGGTCAGGTCAAAGTAAAAATTATCGGCATTTTTGGTTGTTCACAATTTAGGCTCTGGCCGGATCAGGGCCTCCTCTAACATGTTAACTGGGGGGGGCGCGGCCCCCCCCCCCCAGTGATGCCGCTGCCCCCCCCCCCCAGTGGAGCTGAAATCGCGTCACTGGGGGGCCACGCAGTTAAGCAAATCACGTAGAAAAACGAGGAAATTTCACTATAAGCTTACCAAACAAACAATCCAGACTATCTCCAGGATCACCACGTTACTAATTTTAGTTTCCTTATATCGTTGGTTTCTTATCTAGGGGAAGTTGGGGGAACGCCGAATACTTTTTTTCTGACGCCCGTAGCACGCAAGGTAGACAACATAAGCTATTCTTGTTGGCGTCATTCGAGAGGCCAGTCTTTTGCCTTTCAAACATACCAGGCGCATTTGATGAATTCGCATACCGTTAAGCGCACAAACTAAAAATATCAAAGAAGTGACTTTTTCGGCGTTGCCCCGGACTGCGGGGAAAGCCGAAAATGGGAGAAATGATCTACGGGAATGCCGAAATTGATGTTTTGCTATTTTATCTCAAATTTTATCCAGAATTCGTCAAAGCTGACACGCGTTTTAAGAGCTTGAGGACGCTTGGTGCACACTGGAAGTTATAATTGTGTGATATAATAAGAAAAGGCCAGGTAAATCATTCCTTATGGTAACAGGCCATTGTGTCGGTAAAAAGTGTAATTTGTGTGACTAAAAATACGCGTTGCTATTCTACAGCGGTAAAGTTCACGTAGCGTGCTTTAACGCGCGTAATTGCACGTTTTCGGCATTACCCCAGCCAGCCATACTTTCATTTGCAGGCCCATAACTTTTCAACGTGCTGTATAAATTTCAAATAGGCAGCACACTTTTGCAAAGACGTGCTGAAGATTACTTGACCGAATTGGCCGGACAAACGGTAGCATAATGAGTAGGAAATGCAGCTTCGAAGACGCATGTAGTACAAAGGAAACGTACCTTGAAAACGCTCTTGGCGCCCTCACAGCCGAAGTATTCCGAATGACGACTGGTAACAAACATGCGATAATTGGTAGTCACTTAAACTTCAGAGCATCACTGACAAGTGGCATCCATGTCGTACGGTTTTCGAAATATCTCGAATTTCGGCTTTGCCCCAACTCCGGCATTGCCCCAACTTCCCCTACAGGTTTTTTTACAGATCCGCCTAGGATGAGCCGCGGAATGAGGTCAGACATGGCAGATTTTACCATCGAACGCCGACTGAAGCCCGAACGGGGTATCACTTTGAGAAGGAAACAGGCCGAACGGTCGCCCTCTCTAGTCTCAATCAGTCAAGCGCTTACGGTTTAACACGGAGAAGTATTGTTTTTTTCGGGAGACGGGTTTATTCTTGAAGAGAAATTTTTCTACGGTCAAATAAGAGTGCGGCTGAGCTTGATAGCACGATATAAACGTTTTTTTTCCACAGTGTTTGGGACTAGCAGCGATAAGCCCTCTCACTTATTGAGGGGTATGATATACCCCACCCCTAGGTTTTTGCGAACAACTCGCGTAAAAAGTGGCCCAGCTGGCAAAAGTTTTAGTAGGTATTCTCGTGATCACTTCAATTCTACTCATTTCCTTAAAATGTAATTACCCTGTTCCCTGACCCTCATTCTCATTGACCTGTGGCCTGTTTCTTGAGTCATTTTCAGGCAAGTAGCTTTTTAGGATGGTGAGCTGTTTTCAGGCAGGTAGCTGTTTTGCAGCGTTTGGGAAATCGATACCTAAGCCGCTTTCTGTGATCAGTTAGATTCCTTACGCACTGCTGTGCCGTTTAATACTTTTTAATAAAGGCATTTTGTTTCATTTTCGGAAAGCCGGAAATTTTCGTCAATTTCGGACGCTGCGCGGGGGATATTTACCCCAAATGTCACCCTGCCCGTGCCGGTCTGGATCCACCGGTATAGAGTCAGGCGGCCTACTATTTCTCTATTTTTTCAAAATAAAAATAAAAATCATGGCATCAGGGGTGTGATGAAAAATAAGTGGCCTAAATCCGATGAGAAAACCGGATTTGGGGGTACCCTAGGTTTGGCTTCTGAGCCTCTGCCCCTCCCCCCCCCCCAGTGAAAATTCCTTAGAGGAGGCCCTGGGCCGGATATCAGGAATCAGTGGTCTGATTAGAAAAATTTAAACGGCATGCATTCGAAAGATCTTGTCGCGATGCCCAATGTTCAGTCCTAATGACGTCGATTTTTGAGATGTGACGTCGCAGAAAAGTCAAAAAGGGTAAAATCTGTCTAATTGACAATGACAGGCATTCTGCCGTAAAAAGAAACCTATACCCATTTCTAACACGAGTTTTGCGGCACAATAGGTACAAACTTGTTACGTGGCTCATCACCTACCCCTACCCCCAATCTCTTCACAGAAAAGAACTAGAAGCCAGCCTGAATCCCACTCCTCCCACACCATCCTCCCCCCCCCCACCCCCCGAAATGAAGGATTGAACCGTTCTGTCTAATGCACCGCATATTGACTGTGTCCTGACGTTTCTGGGTGCTCCACGGCAGGTGGTCACCACGCTGGCGCTGGCCATGAATCACCTCGTCATGGGAGTGTCGGTGGCTTTCGCCGGCGTATTCACCGAACAGATCACCTCGGCCGACGCCGGCCTCCAGCTGAGCGTGTCACAAATCTCCTGGATATGCTCCATCACCTCTGTGGGCAACATGCTCGGGTACCTCATCTCCAGCTACGTGAACCCCATGTACGGTGCCATCCGCGTCTGTCAAATCTGCGCCCCGCTGGTGGCCGGAGGCTACCTGATGGTAGCGCTCGGCAACAACTTCTGGGTGCTGCTGGCAGGACGGCTGCTGCTGGGGCTGTTCAACGGGGTGACGACGGGCCCCACCAACACGCACGTGGGCGAAATCGCATCGGCCAATCTGAGAGGCTTTCTGACGTCGTCGATGATCACCATTGGCGTGTCGGGAATCACGTGCACGTACCTAACCGGCTGGCTGCTCGGTTGGCGGCAGATGTGCCTCGTGATGGGCATCAGTCCTATGGTGTTTATGTTTGTGATAACTTTGATGTTGCCTCGCTCACCGCGCTGGCTGATCGTGAAAGGGCACCCGGCAGAAGAGGCCGCCAGGTCACTTAAGTTCTACTTTGGAGACGACTTCAATGTTGATTCGGAACTAAAAGGAATTCGAGAATCTCTTGGGGATGGTCACAAACATGACGCTACTTTAGTCCAAGTTCTTGGTCGTCTGCGTCACCGCCATAATCTCGTTCCGTTCCTACTGGTGCTTGCACTGTACGTGTTCTTTGTATTCTCTGGCGGATTTACGACCACCACCTTCGCGCCGGTGATTTTCAAGGACGTTGGTGGTTTCAGTAACCCGTATATGGGCTCAATCCTTGTGGGCGTTGTCCGCGTCGTTGCCACCATCATGTGCAGTGTCGTCATGAACAGACTGCACCGGCGAACGCTGCTAATGGTGAACGGCGCCGTCGGAGGCGCCGGCTGTCTTGTCGCCGGGTGCTACTTTTTCTACCGCGAACAGCTCTCCGACCACGCCTGGCTGTCCCTCACTTCTGTCCTGGTGATTGTATTTTTCATGTCTCTGGGTATCAGTCCCCTAAAGAGCGTCTTGTTTGGTGAGCTACTTCCTAACTCGATCCGTTCGGAACTGGGTGGAATATGTCTGGCCTTCTTCGGCACATCCAATTTCTTGATGGTTTACACCTTCCCGCTAGTTCTGCAAACAGTAGGCATGTCTGGGATATACTGGTTCTTTACGCTGATGCATTTCCTGATGCTGGCATTCAGCCTGTTCTGCCTTCCGGATACCAATGGCAAGTCAATCGAAGAGATCCAGAAAATGTTTCTCAAGAATGCAGCCAGTTCAGCATCCAAGCATCGTCCAGTGTGCGTCGTGGAAGAGCCCAAGGAACGTCTCACCGATGTCAAAGTGCACTTTGAAGGGCCTAAAGCTGAATGATAAAGTGAGCAGCACTAAATACTTTTTAGTGAAAACTGATTCGGCATATACCTTTTTAACAAAAACGACCACATTTTATCCTGGACTGTTCATTGTTTAACATTGGAGCTGTGTATCTACTATAAATACATACAAGAGCGCTGATATTTCTCGAGCAGCGCTCAACTTCTTAAGTGTCAGTTAGGTTTATCGCGTCTATTTATTTAAACAAAAAACTCTCAAATCAAGGTGGAAAACGGTTCTCACTACACATTCTGCTCAAACCAACAAAACAAAAAATGTTGAGTTAGCTTAGGTTTAGCCAATACAGCTCTGTTATTACTTTTTTCATGATGCAAGTGTAAATGCATGCTATGCCCTGATTTGGTATGTACATGTTAACGAATTTCAATAAACATTTACATTATAAAAGCTAAATAAAAAACATGAACGAGGATGACAAAGAGTTTGGCTATTAACAGGCTCTCTAACACTTGGCGAGGGAGTTTCACAGCACACTCTGGAAAGCAGCGGCCGTGCCAGCAAGAAGACCAAAGTAATCTGTTACTTTTCAATCTTACATGAACAGCATTGATATGCTCAGGCTGCATTATGTGACAACACTAGCCCCTTGTTTTGACCATGGGTGGTGGTAGCTTTTGCTAGCAGAAACTTGAGTGATACTTGGGGTGCATGGTCGAACGTGAATGGACACTAGCGCCTTACCAGGGGGCTGGGAGGTGGAATTAGAGTGGTACCAACTGGCTGATCAAGGGGGGATGGCGGCAGGGGCTTTAGATCCTCCCATTCGAAACTCGACAGGGGCGGCAATATTAATTAGCCTTCCCCAAATGCACCGGGATTGGTCATTAAAATGATTGATTGCTGGTAAGTTCCAGCCTTCCATAGTGAGGTTCCTTTAGAAATTCCTTTCCGCTGTTAAGTTGGTAGCGACTTGTCAGTTATTCAAGGATGGAAACTGACCAACTGACTATCAGCGTCGGATATTTATTCTAGGTTAACTTTTTTGGGACACCTTGTACAATTGTGACAGTCTGCAGGATGTAAAACGACCATCGACGCAAATGCTTACTGTCAGTAAAATTTGAAGTGGGAAATAGCCCTTAAAAAATGGGGATGACAGTGCAAAATAATTTTCATTTAGCTGTCACTTCGCACCCAAATCGACAAATTTTGGGATACTGATAGGGTTGGGATACTGATACTGATAGGGATAGGGTTCTTGGTCATCGGTTAACCAGGTCACAGTGTGACCTGGTCAACCGATGACCAAAAACCCTAAAATCGGGTACCATCGGCTTCCTCTCGTTACTCACGCGCGACACGCTTGCTTTTTCCGCGAAGCTCTAGCTTGATCAAGGGCCGAACGGCAGGGGTGTCCAACCGACACCTCCCGGCCCGCGAGGGCTGTGCCAAGCACCGACCCGGAGTGGGCTAGCTGGTCAACAAAAGCAACTTGAAGTGTTTTTAAAGTAATATAAGGGCACGGGTCAGGTGGGCTACCATTTTTATATTTTTTATTTCATTTCTAGTTAAGAAAATATCGTTTCAGGGCTGTGACGAAAAATAAGTGGCCTAAATCCGATGAGAAAACAGGATTTGGCGGTACCCTAGGTTTGGCTCCTGGCATGAGTTGCCCCCCCCCCCCCCCAAAAAAAACGCAGGTCTGGATCCGCCTGTGGTGGTACCAGAGGGTCACATAGTCTGACCATGTCTGACCTTTGGTATCGACCTAGTCAAACCTTGTAAGTGTCAAGGGCTGGTATACCCCTGATAATTTTAACTCTCATTGTACACCCAGCATACGTCAAAAGTCATAAACCCTCGCCGGCACAGGCCATTTTGAGTCCTTCGACGGCACAAGGAGGGTTGGTACGACCCCCCTCGCGTTTGGCCCCTGATGGAGCTAGAGCTTCGCAGAAAAAACGAGCGTGTTGCCCATCACGTGAGGAAGCCAAAGATACCCAATTTTAACCCTATTCCTGGCGGGGGGGGCCTCAGGAGCCCCCCCCTGAGGTTTTTTGGTTATTTCTCCCAAACGCGTTGAGCTAGGAAGCTCAAATTTTCTGACTTTTACTAAAAGGCTTCTACGCAACATGTCTGAAAATTTTGAGTTGATCTGACCTCAGGTCAGGTCACCAGAGGCGGTTTGGTGACCCTACCTCAGAAAAGTTTGCAATCACGCCAGAGCTAGAGTTTTTGACCGATCAATTTCTTCTCTTCAGGGTTTAGTTAGGGTACCAGTATGTGCAATTTGTATATCTCGGAATTTTGATATCGGTGACCTAAGGTCAGGTCAATTTCGCGACCTCCCCATTATAAGTCAATGGGGGAAAAATCAACTCCCTGTTTTTACCACTAAAACGGGTCGGAATGGCCCCATATACCATACATGACTTCATATACGATCAACCTTCACTACCTTGAGGTCTGTTTTGCTGTTGGGCAGCTGTGAGGTCATGTGACGTCATCAAAGGTCACCAAAGGTTTTTGGCCAATAACTCCGTACAGGAATAAGATACAGACGCGTGGATGGTCTCATTGTGTTCAGCTCGTCAAGACGCATCGAATGATATACATGATGACCTCGAGGTCACGTGACCTGAGGTCAACCTTTGACCTTGACCTTTCGAGGTCAACATATACATCATTCGATGCGGATTGACGAGAGGATCACGATGATGCCCTTAGTTTGTTCCTATTTTGACTAATTCGAAAGTTATTCGAGAAAAACTCTCTCCATATCTAGCGCCGCCATTTTGACTTTTTCGACCCCTGTGACGTCATCTTTGACCTGACCTGAAAATGACCTTAGTAAAAATTGTAGATCTTGGCCGTGCGTATCCGATGCCGTTTACCGCTTGTCGCTATCTTGCTTCGTTCTCGAGATCTCAGGGGGGGCCGAATCGGCCCCCCCGCCAGTTTCTTGTCCCGGCGGAGCCCGCCAGGAATAGGGTTAAGGTCCTAGGTCATCGGTTGACCTTCCAGATCAGGTCAATAACCCAAAAATCGGGAATATCGGGACCTGTTAGAAAGTAGTAAAGTGTGGCTGCTAAGGGATTTTCCGGGGTGCTGATCACGAATATCGTGTTAGTTTTGATCACAGATGATGTCGTTAAGCGTTTAGACCAGGTCGGGTCAGGTCAGGTTAGGTCAGGTCAGGTCAGGTCAACCGGTAGGGGTCGTGACGGGTATTTTCTAGTACGTGTCATCCGCCTTTAACAGCTTCGTTACATGTTACGACGGCACCAAAACTACTTCGTTAATGTTCAAATGGTTGCTAAATTCGAATTCAGCTCCAAAAACTAGCCAAGAAACATGTAAAACTCGAAAAAGTGAGCCGAGGTCACCAAAGGTCAATGACCTGACCTGACCTTCAGGTGACCTTGACACCCACCCTAATGCATGGGAGCAACATCAAATCACATGTTTGAACGTTTGAAACCACGAAAAGCTTGCAAACGCGCGGCTAATGCGAGCCGACATACGCCGAATCGCCATTCCGGCCAAACATAGTCTCGGAAAATAGGTCACAGGTCAAAGGTCATTGGGGTCAGGGTCATGAAATTTTCAGGGTATGTGTACAATTAATAAATGCGAGGGTACTGAAAGTTTCGTCGCGATCGGCCGCTTTTTACGCGAGTTATTTGCGTAAAACCTTAGGGGGTTCCCCCTGTGCCGGCGAGGGTCAAACGATCGAATATTTCTTCAATTTCCTAAAAAATGCGTAGTTTCGCTTCGGAAGGTCAACACGCACTTTTCTTTTGAAAAAGTCAACACACGAACTTCTGAGTGGCTGAATCCTTTATCCTTCGCCCCAGTGGGGGGGGGGGGCATATGTTACCACCCTGTCGCGTTTTTTGCGTGTGAATAAAAAACCGCGGCGCGTAGCGCCGCGCCGCTTGGGGTAGCTTTTGGTACATCAATTTTGGACAATGTGTGAAATTTTTGACCCCAGGTCATGTCAGGTCAGGTCACCAGGTCAAGTTAACTGACCAAGCCTAAAAAAAGTTTGCAATCATGTCCAGCCTGCAGTGTTTGTCAGAAAGGTTTCAAACTTGGTGGGTTGCATGCTGTTATGGGCGCCTACAATTTGTATATCTCGGATTTTTTATATCCGTGACCTAAGGTCAGGTCAGTGGTGAAACCTTTCCATTACAAGTCAATGGAGAAAAATGAAAATGCCTCTAGATCCGTGTGTACGCATCGGAACAGTCCAAATATTTCAGAATCACAATGATTTAGTCCACTCGTGATGACCAAAGTGTCATTTTTGCTGATAGCCTCTAGACAGGTCATCCGAGGTCACTTGAGGCTACAAACAGTTTTTTGCCAATAACTCGCGATTGGAAAGAGATAGAACGCTGGGGATGGTCTCATTGTGTTTGCCTTGTTGAGACGCATCGACTGATATGCAGCATGACCTTTTCCGGTAAGGTCATGACCTTGACCTGAGGTCAAATTTTCAGCTTGACCTTTCAAGGTCAAATTATAGTTCATTCGACGCGTCTCGGCGAGAGGAACACGATTCTGGCAATAGAAATGTCGTGGCGTTTTGTAGTCGAAAGTTATTGTCGAAAAACACTTTTCGTAAAAACAGCTATTTTTGGACTTTTTGCCCTCTGGAGGCCAAACCGTTGACCTGAGGTCAATATTGATAATGACCTTTTCAAAGAAGAGTTCAAAAGCTATCGATTGCTCTTCCCTGCGTTATTCTAGCTACCATAGTTCCTGAGATAGCGGCATGTTTTCTGAAAAATATAATGACAATTGGCAAATTTTGACCTTTGATGACCTCTGGTGACCCCAATATTGCTCTAAGGTGAAAAATGACTGAAATACTTTCAAACGTACGCATTGAGAGCTATCGACTGCTTTTTACCGCGTCTTTCTAGCCCTCTTAGTTTTTGAGTTAGAGGTGGGTGGTAACATATGCCCCCCCTCACTAGGGCGAAGTTGGCTTAGACTGCCACTGGGGCGCGGGTTATCGCTGTAGTTCTTCGCTGATAATGTTTTCAGGCACTGCCAGCATTGATACCTTTCCGTTGTATAATCATCTGAAAGGTCACACGACGATACGTACAGGGTGTCCGGAAAGTTCTGGCGCTTTTAAACATTGTCTAAAACAAATGCCATTGGTTCATAGATACTCATCAATGGATCAAAAAAAATGACCAGGGACACCAAGCGACATGCTTCCGCTACGTACTCATTCAATGTAACTATCGTCGGCGCCGACGACGGCCTCGACGTAGGGGAGGAAGCGCCTGCGGGTTTTGACGATTTGTGCCATTTCCAGGTCCTCCTATGCTTTCATGATGCGATTCTTCAGTGACTCCAGGTTGGGGTGATAAATGGCCTAGATCCTGTTCTATAAAACGCGTAGAACGCCTTAGTCGAGCAGGTCAGGTTAGGAGAATAAGACGGCCTTATCTCATTTCGCCA